TAGAGAGGTGATATGACTTAAATAAGATGATGTGACTTAAATAGGATAGTGACTTTTTGACTTTTTGAATTTTTTAAAAGATGCCAAACTTGGCCAGAGTAAGTACAATATCACGCCAAACATAATGCTTTTATAGGAAAAATTTGTAAGAATGTATCATTTTCCGAATTGCACCCCCAGCAACAAAAAAATACAAATCAAAAGAGAGGCCAACTCATACATTACTCCAAATTTTAGATATTTAAGAGTGTGTTTAGAATTATCTAAATAAGTATATTTTTTGACCTTTTGTAAAAAGATATAAAAAAAAATAGAAAAAATATATGACCAAAAGAAAGATAAAAAAATAAAAATAATGTACTAACAAATAATTCCTTTCATATTCTAAAATGATTCAACTGACTTAGAGTGGAGTATTGTAGAAATTAGTTATATAATAGTAATTTGAAATTTGATTTTACTCCAATGACTGTCACTAATAGAGTGCTATAGTTAAAAAAATATACATCTTTACATGATAACAAACCAAAACAACAAAAATGCTTTGACTTCTAAAGTTGGGGATTCTCATGACTCTCAAAATGATATGGATCAATCATGTATTTTTATTTTTATTTTTTTTTTCTTTTCTTCTTGAACTAATCACAGGTAAGTGAGGATTGTATTTTTTGAGGGTCCGTAGCACTGTTGAAAAAAAAAAATAAATAAATAAAATAAAGTAGTTTTGACTTTGACTAGTGTTGGTATAATAAACCTTGGTGTTGTCTCACACATAACGCTGAGAAAATTTGAGCTTGAGTACCATTTAGCTTATTTATATTAAGATGTGTTCAATTATTAGTGTATATTATTTTATTTTTCATTTATAAAATTATACATTTTGACCTTTTATTATAAAAATATATTACTTTTACTCTATTTGTACAATATAACTTTCGTTTGGCATGTGGCTTTTTGAGATTTTTTGGTTAAAATAGTTACAAAAAAAACAAAATAGGCTAAAAAATTAATAAAACAAAATATCACATCTAAACCATAATCATTTCATTTTTTTTCTTATAAAAATCAAAAAAGTCAAAAAATCTATCATAAACGATACTTTTTAATCCCAGACTAAAATAGTCAAAAAGCCAATCCACATTCCGAACAAAACTATAAAACTTTTACTCCTTACATACTCCCTTTAAATCGGGTGTATTTGTATGATTTTCTTAATTAAAAGGGTTAATATATACGAATTCATAGATAAATAATATAAAATGATATTCATTAATAATTGAGTGTGCCTTAATATAATTAATCTACAATTTTGTAGGCTCTTTGAATTGGTCACCCTATGGTGTACTTTCATACCATTTTTATGGAGAAATGTCAGCTTGATCTACATGTGGTTCACATGGCCTTTGTCCAATTCGTGAAATTTCCTTGAAATTGATGGGCTTCAAAAAGTTTGGTTTATGTTAATTCCTGAAGTTTCTTTGAAATTGATAGGCTTCAAAAAGTTTAGTTTATGTTAATTCCTGAAATTTCTTTGAAATTAAAGGGCTTCTAAAAGTTTGGTTTATGTTAAGTAGCCGTGGTGGCATCTTATATAACAAAATCATTGTGTATCCATTATAAAGATTATGTTCCTAACTATCTCTAGCAATTGATCCATGCCACCTTTAGTAAGTTTTTAATATCTTTTAAGTAGGTGTGGAGGAGAAAAAAAAAACATTTAGAAGTATGGCCAGGCCATCTCTAGCTTAGTCAAAAAAAAATTCAAATTTAAGTAAAAAATTGAATTAAAGTTCTATTTGATATAAACCATGAGTAATGCTACATTTACTGAATTTGTTGATATCGATCGTCTTGTAGGTCGTCCGAATAATAAGGTGACAACCGCAGTAGACGAAGGTGAAATCGGTCGTCTGACTGGCACAAATTCGAGCGATTCGAGCGACAACAACTGCGGTAGATAAATCATTTCACACAAATCATTTCAATTGAAAAACTCAGATTTAAACATAAGTTTAAGTAAAAACTTCTCTAATAAAAAAATGATAAATTTGAGAGTCACAAAATAAATTTAAAAATTTTAAGTAGACACAGTCTGCTTAATGAGGTAAAAATCTAGTAAAACTCAATCTAGTATAAATTTGGGTCAAAGAATGGAAGGTGTTTTTGTGATTTTTACCCAAATTGAAATTTATAGAAGCAAAAGGAAATGGAAAAATAAAATAAAATATGATACAATTTTCAACAAAAACTGAGAGGTCAATGTCATTTCTAGCATCTCTAAGAAGGAAACGTACTAGTCAAGGAGAAAACTCATAAGAAAATTCTCAATTGCCTACATAGTAGAATTTGGACTTCAAATTCTCAAATATAATAAAAAAACAAAATTGACTCAAAACACTCCATCTCTTTAAATTTGAAAATAGACAATTTGTCCCCGTGTTCGTTTAAGAACAAACTATTTTAATAATTTTTAACTTTTTAATTAAAATATGAAATAAAAAAAATAATATGTTTGAAATGACTTTTTAACTATTTACAAAAAATAATATGTTTGAAATGACTTTCAATTAATATGTTTTTGTGATTTTTACCCAAATTGAAATTTATAGAAGCAAAAGGAAATGGAAAAGTCAAAGAGAAACCTCATAAGAAAATTCTCAATTGCCTTCATTGTAGAATTTGGACTTCAAATTCTCAAATATAATAAAAAAACAAATTGACTCCAAAACACTCCATCTCTTTAAATTTGAAAATAGACAATTTGCCCGTGTTCATTTAAGAACAAACTATTTTAATAATTTTTAATTTTTAATTAAAATATGAGATAAAAAAAATAATATATTTAAAATGATTTTTTGACTATTTACAAAAAATATATAGTGTAAAAATAAAAAATTTTATTTTTTTATATAATTTGTTAGCTTTTTTTTTATAATTTTTTTATACTAACTTTGGAATCTTTAAAAAAATATCAATTTTGGAGGGCTCCAAGGCGGCCGCCCCATCTGTGAACCAAAACATAACAACGAAAACAACAAATTGTTAGCCCTTTTTTTTCTCTCGTCTTTTTTTTTTTTTGGAGTGGTAAATTACAAATATATCCTGACTTTTGATTAAAATACGAATCGCCTCCTCTAGTTTTGAAAATTACATTCCACCTCTTGATGTTTCTAATTTCATAACAAATCGCCACTTTTATTAACAAATTATCAAGTCAATTAATAATTTTCAATGATGTTATAAATATGTTTCAATTAATAATTTAGATAATTTTATTATTGTATAAAAGAGCAATTATGAATTTCATGTTTTCAGTTAATTCTATTAAATAAAAAATTATGACAAGCAAGTATTCGTAATTTTTCAAATCACATAAGACATATATTTTAAGAAAACCTCAATGTAATTTACTCTTTTTTTTTTTTTTTTTACTAACTTTGGAATCTTAAAAAAATATCAATTTTGGAGGGCTCCAAGGCGGTGGCCCCATATGTGAACCAAAATATAACAATGAAAACAAGTTTCATTTCAGAAAATTTTAAACCAAATTTCTAACATAACACGTAATGTATATAAAAATACACAACTGAAGGATAAGGTAGATGAAACCAAAAGGGATGTGGATGTGGTTGGGGTGAGAGAGGTTGCTGAAGATAGGAGAGGTAGTTGGGAGGCTGAGGAGGTTGAGGTTAGGATTTGAATTGATACCAAACTCAAATTTATACATTTCAATAATCTTTTCTTTTTTTTTTAATGTCTAAAATATTATGAATTAACTCATTTTTTAATTACTCAACACCAAATCAAACCAAATCAAATTTTAATTCCTATCAAATGAGATACATTATATGAATATTTCTTTTCTATTAGATTCTATCAACGGTTATTTGGTTAGTCAAATTAAGAAGATTTATATTTCTATTTATTATATTAGATCACGTTAATCTAGATTTTCCCATTTCCTAACACTTTCATCTATCTTTACTATTGTCTTTATTGTTTCCATTATATATGACCAAACCATCTCAATCTATTCTCTTTCAACTTATCTTCTATCGATACTACTCATACCCATTCACAAACATATTCATTCTTAACTTTGTTTTTTCTAATCTTGCCACACATTCACCTTAGCATCCTCATCTCAACAATACTTGTCTTATCTACATGTTGTTTCTTATTTGCCTAACATTTCGTCTCATTCAACATTACTAGTCTAATAGCCATTCTATAGAACTTCCCTTTTAGTCTAGTGGATACTCGTTTATTTCACAAAACCCCAAACGCACTCCTCCAAGCCACCCCGCCTTAATTCTATAGACCACATCTTCTTCAATCTTCTCAATTGTTGTGATAATTTATCCTAGATAACGAAAATGTTCACTCTTAAGTAGTTCTTGGTTCTCAATCTTCACTTCCCCTCATCTTCCATTGTTACTGTTACTAAAATTACACTCTATGTACTCTCTTACTTCTATGTATCTTAAATCCTTTACATTTAAGTGTTTTTCTCAAATCTCTAACTCAGTGTTAACTTCGTCTCTAATCTCATCCACCGACACGATATTATCTGCAAAAAACATACACCATGACACATCATCTTAAATATTTCTCATCAACTCATCCATAACTAAAGTAAAAAAATAACGATTTAAGATTAATCCTTGATATAACCCACGCACAGTAATTATGAATTAATCAGCACATCTACAAAAAATCAAGACCTGATTTTTTAAGATTTTAAAACATATTCTAAATTAATATTTTCTTAAAAAATATTCTTAATTATTTTATAACCTAATAATCAATGTTTTCCCAAATAATTACTTCCAATTTCGAATAATATTCTCACTATGGTGTCATCAACTAAGGTGACACGCAGCCCTAGCCCGTCTATAGATTAACAAAAGCAGATCTCAAATTAACTCTTTTGGCCTAGCTTTCAATATAATCTATTTTATTAAATATAGTTGAACATCCGAACAAGGGGGTTATGTATATCTACACGAAAAAATGAAAGGGACTTTATTTTGAACATAAAGGAATAAAATTATCACAATAGGATTTTTACTTCTTATGACAAACAACACCGAAACCAATAATCTCTTTTTAGTCAAAATCCTATAATCAGATAATGATACAAGGGGGAAAAAAAAAGTTTTGAATCATAAACGAACTCTTGGAGGATTAGAAAGGTTATATGTACAAAAGAACACTAAAAACTAAAGACCGGAAAAAAGTTGACAGAATTAAAACTTGATTAACTTTTTTCCATCGATGCGTACATTGTTAATGGAGGCCAAGAGTTAGAGCGGAGAAAGCAGTTCTTCCGGTTGCAAGCCTCAACTGCAAAAACGACTTGACAGTTAGGGAGCTTCTGTATTCTGTTGAATACTCGGATCTTTCATGAAAGCCAATTCAGAAACCAGTGCAATGTGATCGCTTCCCCATTTCTGAAGACCACAACAGTTAACAAAAATTAACATTATAACCCCCACAAGTTTCATGAAAGCCAATTCAAAGTTCCCGCTAAATTTTTTGAAACAGCCACACTTTTTCCCCCACTAACAAAAGGTAATTGACATGTTGCATACAAATCTGATATTAGCATATAACAAGGCATTATTTTCCTAAAAGTGGGGAGTTTCAATGAAACAGGAGTTAACAACCACCAAACCTATTAATATCAAAATGATGCCAACCCATGTCATGTTTGTAAGAGGTGCGGCCCAACCCCTCACATAAAAATGGGTCATAATGCTCTTAAAAATATTTTGCTACAGAAATAAATATTAAAAAAAAAAATTTATAGGATGCCTAATAATCAAAAGAAAATTATTCTAGAAGTATCTTAAATTCTCAAGTGTAATACATACTAGTTTACTCTTATCGTACCACATTTTAGAGCATGTGGCATACACCACGTTCATGATCATGTTCCCGTTCCACGTACTGGAATGATCCACGTTCCAGGGAACATAGCTCTCAGTTCTCTAATCATATTACCTCAGACTCAGTGATTGGCTGTAATTGCTTTAATCTACTTAACCTTTTTCTCTTTTTTCTCTCTTTTAAGTCACATTACCAACCTTTAAGTCATTTGCGTGGCAAAGTAAGAAATGCACAGGACATGTTCAAAATTAAAACATCAACATACCCTCGTTGGGAATCCTGGAGTCCACTGCATGGCATTCTTTGGAATTGGAGCAAGCACCCTGACAGTTTGGAGACCTTCAGTGCGCCTGCATATTAATTGCAACAATGTTTCAATCCAGTCTCGATTGTACTTAGCTACAAAAGGTGACAAACAAATATATAAGAGCGAAAGATTTGAAACTATCCATTATATCGATGTCTCCATTGCACCTCAACAAGTGTTCGAAAGGCACGTAACCCTCTTTTGATTAGTCAGACAAACAGATTCAATTCAGATATCAAGAAGCAATTGTTGGAAACTACACCATGAAGTATGAAACCATGAAGGATACTCACCATATATAATCAACCGTGCCTAAAAAACACCTGTGGTAACTGGTCACCAGGGGTTCTCCATTTGAATCTCTAGTCCCTGAACGGTCCTGCAAGTAACAAAGAACAAAAATAATGGCACTCACAAATTAATCAATAGCTGCAATACTAGTATATATTTTTGATACATCACAAGGGAAGGACAGATAGCACAGAAAACAACTTGAAGCTCAGGAGTATATGACCTACCTCAACTTCTGCATATGTGCTTCTCAACTTCAGAGGGTGTTCTACAAGTGCGCAGTCTGCTTTACCTGTTGCAGTTTCTATTTCCATTGGAGTCCATGCTGATGGATCATATGTAAAATTCGATGCATGAACAGGCTCAGAATCCATTCCGGGAGAATCATCATCCAGAACCTCATCTCTAGAATAATGCAATTGCCGGCTATGGGGAACAGCAGTAGATTCATCAAAGGATTTATCAGATTCCACAAAGTCAGATCTTACAGCATGACTAAAATCAGGTGGAAAGGAACAATTTTTGCCATGCAACTCTGATAAAAAATCAGTAGAATCTTCACCAAAACTTTCATCTTCTTCATTGGTTTCATCCTCTTTAAGTGATAGGCTTGTCGATTCAAATGAAGCATTGACTTTAGACAAGGTTGAAGGGAAATCCTTGTCATCAGCAACTGATAGAGATGACAAATTTTCTGAACCTCCAACAGTGGGGACTTTCAGAGTACTGGGAAAGGAAGTCTCATGGAACAGCTCAGATGAAGAAACATCATCCAAGTTGGAAGCACCTGAAGGTGTTGGATCAATTATGGCATCTGTAGAATCATTGGTACCAATAAAGGGAAGTTTGCTCTTATCACAGTTCATGCTTTCATTTTCCGTTTGTAAATTTGCTTCAGACTGTTCATGTCCATCTTTCATTTGTTCAATACAAAACCCGCCATTGTTTTGAGAACTTGGACTTTCCTTTAAGCTACCATTTGGAACAGACACAGTCAAATGAGTTTCATCCTTACACCCATCTACTTCCTTATCAGTTTCTTTAGTTATTTCACAAGGAGATGCACCGTTCACATTCAGCCCAGTGTTAACACACTGAGGTTGAGATATGATATTCATGGAAGTTAGATTTACAGAATTGCTTTCTGTATTATTCTGTTTCTGCCCGAGTTCCCTGTGATCAACCACTGCTGAAGCTCCACCTGAACTATCAGCAAACTGAGGCCTACAATATTTTCCAAACTTTTGAATTCTATCTTCCATGCACAAGCAAGAAAAGCACCTCTAAGCTCATCAGAGAACCATTTAAATGAGAAAAAATCAAACCTGAAATTAGGGTTAAACTGACTTGGTGGACGAATTTCAGCAGAAGCTTGTCCTGATAACTTATCTCTAGGCAGGTCAGATATATTTAACTGCAATAGAAGAGCACTGTTTATTTGACCATTGCAACTCCCAGAATATAACAATGAACCAACCATGCAAGCAACACAGAACAACATTTACCTTCTGCTCTGATATGTAATTGTATAACGGACTCTGATACAAAGGCACGTAGGAATGTTATTAACATAACACATTAAAACCCAACCAAACTCAAATACGATACTGGAGACCAAAACACAGTGACAGAAGTAACAACTCAAGCTCAAGAAGTGAGGAAGTTGGTAAAATGGACCTACTTTTGGGGTACAGTTAAAATCCCCGCAAAGAACCACAGGAGCATCATCCCAAAGCTTAGAAACAGCATGAGCTCTATCCAGAAGCACTCTAATCTGTTCATAGACATAAATTTCTTAAAGATGTTAAATGCAATTGGAAAATAAGGTTTTATTTATATTAAACAAAATAAGTGATATGGGAATGAAAAGTGCACATACTTCTACCAGAAGGCAAATATGGTATAACTACCCAGAGAAAATTTCAAGCCCATGGCATCATGCAGAACCAAAACAATAAAAAAAAAATGGCTTCAGTTTCGTAAATGTTTTCCAAGCAATAATATGAAGTTCTACGCTACCAATATGCAAGGAATTTTGCAGACAAATTTGGGGACTTGGACTTTTTGTGGCCAGTTAAATATGTCATTTGACATCTTTTTGGGCTCCGGTGGCACCCCCTCTTAGATTTTTATATCTTTTGCATTGAGATGTATTCTTTCTATTGAGAATTCCCAGTCCTCCTTTCATTTGTACATTTTTTCTTTTTAATATAATTCTTTGTCGCTGATTGATAAATAAGTAAATAAATAAAAAGAGGGAGAGAGAGTGAGAGAGTGAGAGAGAGACAGACCCAAAAAACTAAGATTCACTTCCATCACACATGTATTTATATTAAAAGGTCCCAAGTGTACATAAATACCTCTAAAACAAATAATATCTATTAAAAAAAATTACGAGTGCAGACATGATTCTGCATTGTAGCAGGTTGAGAATGTTGAGATGGACTCAACAGCAGTTTATACAATCTTCACAAGCAATGATCCCAAATGGACATAGAGTGGGAAAATTAGATGGAACATGCAGAAAATTGGAGTTGTACCAACATGATGAAGCATATGTAATATGAACCCACTATATTGCAACACGGTAATCATATCCTCATGCACCAATCCAACATGGAATGAGAGAACATGATATGGTAGACGAAGTCAAAAATCAAACCTCTGACAAAGTACAGGGTTTGTTTACAACTAAAAACCTGTAATCAGTTACATGGCCATTTTACATGCTAAAGCAATAAGGCACATGCACCATAATTATTCAACTATCTACCGAAAATCTTTACGGAACATCAAATGACCTATTCCAGGCTTTACAGTTCATCACATTCCTTCTGCGCAAGATGCTGCATCTAGGAAGGTTGAACAAAAGCAAGGAGAGAACTGAGAGAATGACAAGGAGGTACAGAGATCGTGCTTTGGATCTGAAGATTGAGCAGAAGGTAATCATTGTTCAGGTCAATGAGAAATCACACGGGGAGGTAGTGGAAATCATTGAAAGGAACAGGCATAGAAGTTTCATATTGAAAATTGATCTGGGAGGGGTATTCTGGGCATCACAGGTTCTCAAAGATGTTGGAACCAAGAGCGAGGAGAGGCAGTCCTTCAGAAAGTATACGAACAGTTCTGTCTTCTGTCTTCAGAGTAATTCAAATAGCAGAGGTGAGTTTGTGGAGTTATCTAAGTGGGTGGCTGGGATAAGGAAATCAAGCATTATCATTCCAGCAGGGGTCAATCGACAAGGGTGGAAAGATGTGGCTGTGTTACTTGATACAATCCTATTTGGAACAAGGCAGAAGAACCCTGTTAGAGGTACTGAAGGTAAGGATGAAGGAAAGGATGCAAGACGTCTGGCCATGGTAAATGATCCTAGAGATGATGTTCAGCAGAATGGGGCAAATAAGGAGGTACACACAGAGGGAATGAGTCAGCAAATGAGAACAGGGGCAAACAGAGGTAGGTCGTATGCGGAGGTACTTAAGCTTCAATCACCATTTTCATTAACAAATGGTTCTTCGTTAGATCTCAATCATGCAGTGGTGTGTAAGAGAGTAGATTTCTTCATAGGTTGGGAGCAAATTGAGAAGGAATTATGTAAGTCTTTCAAGATATCTATCAAGCTTCGTCCCTTCCAGTTGAATCGACCTCTGTTTTTCACCAAAACCAAGGAAATGGATGCATTCTATGGGGATAAAGGTTTGCAATTTTTTTGTAAGGGTATTGCAGTAACGTTGGAGAGGTGGTCCGATGAGAAGCATAGGAGGTCTAATGTTATCGCTTCATATGGAGGATGGATTGCAATTTGTGACTTGCAGTTTAATTTATGGAATAGAATGATCTTTGAAAAAATCGGGGCGACATGCGGAGGGCTTTTAGAAGTGGACAACAGAACCAAGACTTCTGAAAATCATTTTCAGGCAAGATTGAAGTTGAGAGGATCAAATTCTGGGTTTTTACAATCAACCGTAGAGATTACGACGAATGAAGGATCATTCACAGTGCGTGTGAAGTCGCTGTCGAAACCTATCAAACGAAGAGAGGGTCATTGGCAATGGAGTTTCTAGCAAGAGTTTCCAACGGAGCTTGGCGCCGGCGGTAGGGGAGATGACGAGGCTGAGGAGGGACAGCCGGGATACGTGGATGCCTGGTTGAATGCTTACAGTTGGAACATTATGATCCCAAGAAAGTTGGGGTTAACGAAGAGGCACATCTTTTTGACACAAGGGATGTCAATGATGATGGGAGGTCAAGGGTTGACAGAGATTGTCTTGAACATGGGCCAGATTTTCAGGGACACAGCTCAGAAAAGGATATTTTAGGTGGAGATGGGCTGATGGGTGATCTTGGGCCTAGGCCATTTTTGGGCCTTTCTCATGTGTCACTCACAGAACAGAATGGTGGTGATGAGGGTATTAATCTGGGCCTAATTTGCACTCATCATTTGGCCCAAGATTTAACCAAGTGGAAGAAGGCCCATCGGGAAATAAAAAGACCAAATCATAACCCAATTTATGATGGGCCTAACCCAGACCATTTGGGTATTTCTTTCCCAGGTTCAGAACAAGGGCTTCATCGGGTAAGGAAGACGATGGGTAATCCCGATGGTGAGAACAATAGTATCCAGACAACGAACCAGGGGGGAGATGGGTCCAACGGCAGCGATAGTCGGCAACAATAGGGTGAGGAGTTTGAGGTGTGCGACATCAGTATGGAGCCTGGGATCGACAAACAGGTTCTAACTCCACCGGATGGGTTAAACCCAAGTGAAATTCATTTGATCGATCGACAGGGCATTTTTTACGGATTGGGCGCATCACTAGAGTTGATGGTTTGGGTGAAGATGATAATGATGTGATAGAAATTTTCCCTGGTGTTGACCGAATGATTAACAAAGTGGAAGTGGGAATTTGCGATCCACAAGGGGTGCTCCAAGTGTTGGAAGGATAAGGATCTCATGAAAGCTCTGATGAATCTCTGGGTCCAAACAAGGAAGTTGATGCCTGTATCGAGGAGGAGAGGGTTGATGATTTTGACCCGAACCTAAATTGGCTATTCCATAAAGAGGAGGTACCATTTTCTTCTTGTATTAAGCACACTGTGGGGTCTAAGGGTGAGGCAGTCTTTGACTCTTGTGAAAAGGTTTGTGACTCTTTTGACAGGGGATAACATGAATTCTTCACCTCCTTCTCATATTCAGGGTATTCATTCAGTGCCAGTTAGGGGAGGGGAGGAGGGGGAGTCACTATTGGGTCCTTTTTTCTTACAATCTAGCAGAGTTGTTTCTAACAAGAATGATAATTTGCCTCAGTTACATGCGTGTAGGAATTCTACCAAGGGCAGTTTGAACCCACAGGAGAGTAACATGGATAATCATAGGACTGATCTTTCGATGGAGGAGTCTCCTAATCATAGACTCTAGAGGAACAGTGTTAGTGGAAATAATGGTAATGAGTCTAAAATGTGGTTGAGAAAAATGAGTAAGTATGTGTCTTTTCCTTTGGAGGAGGAGGATGTGCCTCACTTTGCACAATTACTTGACACTCTTGGGCTGGCACTAGTTAGGAACAATGGGAAGAAATCTCAGTCTAGGAGTGTGGGGTTTGCATCTAGAGGGGGTGGCAATCATAGAGGTTCGGGGCTAAGGAAAGGGATAAGGGAATTAAGAAACCTTGAAAGTAGCATCAATTATGAGGGTCGGGGGGAAGAGACAAGGGGTGATGATGGTTCTTGATGAAGATTTTAAGTTGGAATGGTAGATGACTACGGTCTCGTAGGAAAAAGGAGGTAGTTAAAGAGGTTTTGAAAATTCAGCAACCAGACATAGTGATGTTTCAAGAGACAAAGTGTGAAGAGTGATAGGGTTTTTATTAGAAGTGTTTGGGGGACTCGATTTAGGAGATGGGCTGTATTGCCTACTAGGGGGAGATTAGGGAGAATTTTGATTATGTGGGATAAGAGAGTTGTATCGGAGTGCGAGGTAGTTGACGGGGTGTTTTCATTGTCTATTAGGTTTAGGAATAGGGATAACAAGGAATGGTGGCTGACAGGGGTTTATGGTCCTAATAGACCCGGAAATCGTCAGAAATGGTGGGATGAGTTGGCGGGGTTATTTGGGCTTTATTCCCCTCATTGATGTATGGAAGGGGATTTCAATGTGGTAAGGCTTGTTTCGAAAAAACTCAATGGGGTTTCCACAAATAGGAGTATGCGGGACTTTGATTCTTTTATAAGGGAGTGAGTTTATTGATCTTTCCTGGAGTAATGCGCGGTTCACATGGTTTAACCTCCAGAAAAATCAAGTGTGTTGTAGGTTGGATAGGTTCCTTCATACTTTAGGGTGAGAGGAGTTATTTCCAGATGTAAGGCAAGAGGCAGGGCCAAGAGTTGTGTCAGATCATTGTTTGGTGATTCTTGAGAGTTATCCTTTTAAATGGGGTCCCAACCCATTCAGATTCGAGAATATGTGGTTGGAAAATTGATCTTTTAAGGAGTACTTTAGGGATTGGTGGAAAAATGGTAGAGTCCATGGGTGGAAGGATTTTAAGTTTATGCGAAAGTTGAGAGGAGTCTAGGATAATTTAAAAGTTTGGAAACGTGAAGTTTTTGGGAATGTAAGTTAGGTGAAAGCGGGATTAGTTCGGGATATTGAGGAGTTAGATGTGAAGGAGGACGGGGAGGGTTTATCTAGAGCGTTAAGGGATAGGAGGTCAATGCTCAGAATGAAGTTGGAAGAGATCGTTTTTAGGGAGCAAATTTTTTGGGGACAAAGAGCTAAGTTGAAATGGGCTAGAGAGGGTAATACAAATTCTAGATTATTTCATAGAGTTGCGTTGAGGAAGAGGAAGAAGAGTTTCATCAAAAATTTGGTAGTGGGTCAGGGTGAGGTTGTGAGTAAGGAGGAACTTATTGTCAAGGAGATTTTTAATTTTTATTCAAATCTATATTCTGATGGAGTTGTGGATCGTCCAGGGATCGAAGGAGTTAATTAGGTTCTAGTGGAGTTAGCGACAACTAGTTGGCTTGAAAGGCCCTTTGATGAAAATGAGGTGAGACAGGCTGTATTTGAGTGTAAGAAAGATAAGGCTCCAAACTCACATGGTTTTTCAATGCCTATATTTTAAGATTGTTGGGATATTGTAAAAGGGGATCTTTTGAGAGTGTTTGGTGAGTTCTTTGAGAGTGGAAAGGTTAATTTATGCACCAATGCATCCTTCATTTGTCTAATTCCTAAGAAGGAGAAGTCGATCAAGATTGGAGATTTTAGACCCATTAGCTTAGTTATATCTCTCTATAAGATTTTAGCGAAGGTGCTTTCTAGGAGAATTAGAATTGTCCATAAGGAAACCATTTCTTCAGCACAAGGTGGGTTCATGCAAGGACGGCAGATATTGGATGTAGTCTTAGTGGCTAACAAGGTTGTGGAGTATAGGGGACTACGTAAGAAAGGTGTTATCTTTAAGGTAGACTTTGCGAAGGCGTATGACCACGTCGATTGGGGCTTTGTAGATTTTGTTTTGGAAAGGGGGGGGGGGGGTTTGGAGCTAGGTAGAGAATATGGATTTGGGAGTGCTTGTTGTCATGCAATATGTCGATCATTGTGAATGGCAAGGCTGGGGATTCTTTTCAGGCATCTAGAGGTCTTAAGACAGGATGATCCTTTATCAGCATTTTTGTTTATTTTAGTTGCTGATGTGTTGGGTAGGATTATTAATTTAGCTAAGGATAAGGATGTCATAAAAGGGTTTGTGTTGGGAAGGGATAGGATTGGAGTTACTCATTTAAACTTTGCGGATGATACTATATTCTTCTCATCAAAGGAGGAAAATAAGGTGGGGAGTTTGCTAAAGATTCCGAGAATTTTTGAAATTGTGTCGGGCCTCAAGGTCAATCTTAGCAAGAGCAATGTTGTGGGTATTAATTTGGAAGATAGCTATGTGCATAGGGTGGCAGATATATTAGGATGTTCCATTGATTCCTTTCCTCTCAAATACTTAGGACTTCCAATAGGAGGAGATCCTAGATTGGCGTCCTTTTGGGAATCTGTTCTTGTCAAAATTGCGAAAAGATTAGAGGGATGGAAGCGAGCTTTGTTGTCTAGGGAAGGGGGAGATATACTTTGGTACAATTCGTATTAGAATCTGCTCCTATTTATTTCTTGTCCCTTTTCAAAATTCCGATTAGCATTACGAGGAAAATTGAGAAATTGACAAGAGATTTTCTTTGGGAAGGGTGTGAAGAGGGCAAAGGGGCTCATTTGGTTAGGTGGGAGATATTTCTCTTCCTAGGAAAAAAGGTGGCTTGGCTATTGGGAACATTGTTGCTAGGAATATTACTCTCTTGGGCAAGTGGTTGTGGAGATTTTCTATTGAAAGTGAATCGCTATGGTGTTCAATTGTTAAAAGCAAGTATGGAGTTCAACCTAATGATAGAGATTCTAATGTGATTAATAGAGGCAATTGTTGTTTACCGTGAAAATCCATTTCTCATTTGTATCCACTTGTGTCTAATTTCTTTTCATTAAGTGGGGAATGGGGTGACCATCTGTTTTTGGGAGGATGTTTGGTTAAGGGATATCTCATTTGGTAGATCTTTTCCTCTTCTTTACCGGTTGGTTCGTTCTCGAAATGTTTCAATTGCATCGGTGGCATGCTCTTCTATGGCACCCATCTCTTGGAATTTTGATCTCATTAAAAACTTGAATGATAGGGAGGCGGTGGAGTTGGCATCTTTGTTGGTAGTGCTGGAGGGGGTCTCTCTTTCTTCCTCTTATGATATTAGGGTGTGGAATCTTGTTTCCTCAGGGGTCTTTTCATGTAAATCCTTTTTTGATGAGCTCATTGATAATCCCTTTGTTTCCTTGTTTCCTTCTTAGAAGAAAATTTGAAAAGCGGTTGTCCCTCATAAAGTGAAGTTTTTCATGTGGTCTTTGGCTCAAAAGGGTGTCACAACTAATGATGTTTTCCAAAAGAGAAGGCCTAATCACTCTCTGTGCCCTCAATGGTGTGTGATGTGCAAGAGAAACTTGGAGGTAGCGGATCATCTATTCCTTCATTGCCCGGTGGCTTGTGTATTATGGTAGCGTGTTTTCGGCTTATGTGATGAGCAATGGGTTACTCCACAGGACTGCATTCAAATGTTTCTTGTTCGGTTTAAAGGGTTTGGGAGAACCAAGAGAGCCAAAACAATGCGGACAAGCATTGTTTTTGCTATTTTCTGGGCTATATGGTTGGAGAAGAATGCTAGAAACTTTGATGGCAAGGAAGCAAGTGTAGAGGCTTTGTGGTATAGGGCGGAATATTTGGCTTTGTTTTGGGCATTTGTATCCCCTCCTTTTACAGGAGTCTCTTTCTTCTTGATCTCTAGGGATTGGCCTGCTGTTTGCCAGCCTTAGGGCTAGGAGTTTTGTGCTTTTGTTTTGCTATTTTTCTCTCTCTTTCTTTGTATGAGGACTTCTTGTCCTCTTTCACTTTTCTTTTTTAATGAAATTTTGTTGACGCTCAAAAAAATAAAAAAAGATATCAAGAACAGAATGGAAAAATACCATTCAAGAATAAGTGATAGTTCCATTCCTTGAAAGAATAAATTCAGGAAGCAAAGGCACCAACTCCATTAATGGATGTGCTAAACTAAAGACAAAGCCGATGAAGGGGAAAGAGAAATGGAGTGGGGTGTGAAAAGACAAAGAAGTGTTTGTTTCCAATTGAGCGACCATCACAGTTGAAGCAAGTCACTGAAGAACTACTTCGTTTGGAAGACAGGTATGCACTACCAATAGGGGTAACCCAAACTTTAATGTTGAGCAAGATACAAATGCCAATGTTGCTTTCTCATGTCCCTTCAAACATTTTTTTCTTGCAGCAAATTACTTGCATCCAGGTACAGATCACTTGCGCATACACTCCAATTGCAATAATAGCCTGCTTAAAATTTGATTGTACAATTTGTATTCCCTATAGGGAGACTAAGGGGAAAGAGAAGAAGCCTGGGCTCTAGGTTCTTTTGAATGAAAAGTCTAAAAAATGTTGACCACTAGGAAGCAAATCAAAAGTTTTGATATGTGACTGATTCTGCAGATAGAAATGGGTTCAGTGAAATCAGACATACTATAGAAATACAAAATAGCAGATTTGTGATGCTGACTCTAATTTCTTGCTCACCCCATAAGTGAGACACGATCTAACAATGTCACCATACTATCTTCTAGACAAGAAGATCACAATAAAAATCAATAGAAGTAAATTTATTCTTGAACATATAACCAAAGGAGCATAGAATGCTCAATGACAATCCCTATAACCCATTTGCCAAGTAGTAAATACCTGACCAAGTTTAATCTCTCCCCTTTTTGGATTGAAAAGCACATGAATGTTACAAATGACAACTTTATTAGAACCTGTCAACCTGCAAATACAGAATACTCAAATCTCCATTCAAGAATAAACATATAAAGCCAAAATGATTTATCATGCACTTCACTAACAACCAAAGAATACATAAGAGAAATTATCAACAACACTCCATATAATGTAACCATGTCATGAAAGGAAAACATTGAAACACATATCAGAATGGATGTGCTCTTCAGCTATTACTACCAACAGTCCTGTATTTTGTGGAATTCGCTTGGTGCGCGTATTAACAAGTGAAGATTTACTTGTATTATAAAGATACATTAGGTGTCCATGGGGATGATATCTTTCCTTCGTAATTTAACATTCCATTTTCCTTCTAGAAGGGAGGGTTCAAATGTAGTAATCCATACATACCATGCGTTGCTAGAGCTCCCTTATTCACTTGTTGAAAAGTTGTCAGAAAGAAGCCACACCAAATTTCCCTGGTGGAAGTATGGCACCAAAACCAAGCTATTGCTTGACAATCCAATAATTCAATTCTACACGATCAAGTTGCTTGAGTATTGTGCAAAACAAAAGGGAAGGTGATGTAGAACACATTGAGGCCACATCCTAAATGAAATCACAATTTCATTAAGCGAAATCTAAATAATATGAAGCAAAACCTAATATTTGTAGGCCACTAACCCTAATTAAAATAGGAAATTAAATCCTAATATTATTTGGAAACCTAATCAAAATATCCTACTAATAATTACTTATTTAAATCTAACAAAAATACTACTAATAAACTAACAATTACAGTTATTGGACCAAAAGTCTTCGGTCCATGCAATGGACTCACGGGCTTCACCCTAGGTTTTCAAAGTGGATAGTGGGCTTCCATCCAATCAAGGGTCGGGCCATTAATTCTCCTCCATTGAAAAGAACTTGACTCTGACAAGTTAGGAGCATGTTCAAGAATCCCTTCTGAATGAAGAACACGTCTAATCAACAAAAAAAATTTCAATGTAACATTTTTGGAATCAATGGCACAAGCAAGAGTGTATTTCGTAGAGTCATCAATGAAAGAACAAGTATTGGCACGCCCTACGTGTGTTACATCATGGCCCAAATTCATGTGCAGCCTAAGAGTATGACAAAGCTTAGGAGGCGACATCGCACATTACCGTCTCTTTAAGCTTGTCAATCTTGAATGTCAGAAGGCATTGTTTGTCGACTTTAAGTTTGGCATTGGTGATCCATGCCACGTGATAAGGCTTAGGATGCGACTCCACTCTCAAGCGCAATCTCTTCATAATGTTTTCAGATATAGCATTAGTGCAACTCCCCGTATCAATCACAAAGAGCACACTTGAACACCGAAGTTTACTCTAGTATGAAAAATCTTTTATGTTTGTAACTTCTAAAGGTCCTTTATGTTTTGCTTAACAGAAGCCAGCAACGGTCAAATAATGCCAATCACATCATCAAAGGGCTTATCTTCCGACCCAGATCAACAGGGTCAACAACTTGCACATCAAATTTCAAATCCTCGAATTCGGTGTTTGCGATAGTTCCTTCATTGTCCACCACAACAACTGACTTCATAAGCACATTAATTTTAGGAGAAGGGCAGTTCCGAGCATGATGGCTAAAACCTTAACAATTGAAACTCTTGGACCTAGTATTACCTTCGTACGAAGAATGAGAAAAGTAGGAATAGAACAGGGTGACCTGTCAATGGATTTGCCATAGTTGGGATATACAAAAGTCCTTTCACTACTTGTAAGGGTGTCCACTGGAGTGCGCACAAGAGTCTTCTTTCTTATTTCTTCGTCCATCAGACGAGCCACTTGTATCGCATCTACCATAAGGTAGAGTCTGCTAGTAGCTAATCCACAAAAAAATCTGTGGATTTAACCCGTGCCGATGCACAAAGATCATTACATCTTCATTTCATAGAAATTCAGACTTGGTAGTTGTTAAAACCTACCACTACACCTACTCCACCCACTCCACCTACTACTCCACCTACTACATACCTACCTCATCTAATCTTCTATATATAGGACTCATTGTAAACATAACACATCAATCAATAATACAATTCTCTTTATACATTGAATTTTAACATGGTATCAGAGCAAGTTTAGAACCTAATATTTTTGCTTCACCGGCGGGCGGCAACTTCGCCTTGGCTGCCCCCCGGACCTCAACCTAGTCCGCTAGAATTTTCTACACATACCTTGAAATTTCTTCGAGTCCACCACCTTCACGCCCAACTCCTTCGAGTCGCTGTCCTTGACTCCCCCATCGAAAGGCCTTCACCTCTCTCCATCGCTACGCGAGGTCAGTATCAATCCTCTGCACATAGCCGCAACTCAATCCTCTCCCTGATCACACACGGACATGCACTAGTAACTGGTGCGGGATCCTCCATTCATCTACTGCGGCTCATTTGCCTCCTTCTCCATCTTCCGAATATGACGCGTCGCCTGAAAACCATCCATTTCAAGCATCTGAATATCCATGAAGCAAGCATCGAAATTATGCGGTAACTCAAGCAACGCAAGAGCAGCTTTGCCGCTCTCGGCACACTCGACATCAGCTCCAAACTTCTTGAGTGCACCAGCAGCAACTCTACGGTTTACCTTATTGTCGTCAACAACCAAAATTTTCTTGCCACAAAGCAAGCTTTTAAGGAACACAGATCCATTAACTGTGTCTTTCCCTTGTGTCTTCTTCCCCGTTCCTAACACCTGTTGAAGGCACGCTGCCACCATACTCGCTCTCAAAGGTTTCATGATCACTGTATCTGCAAAACCCACTTGCTTTGCTTTTTCTCATCAGCTACCCACGTGATCCCACTAACCAATGCACTTTAAACTCTCTCTCCACTCAAGCACACCCACCATTTTGCCAACTTTCTATTCTTATTATTATTATTATTATACAAAACAAAACAACTCCACACCAACAGTCCACTTTTCACATCTTTATTTTTATCAAACACCTACCTTTAATTTTTATTTTATTTTCTGTTTTTCCTTTCCATCATCGCTTGTTCACTTTCCACCCTCACATATTTTTTTTATTTTTTTATACTATATTATATCCCCCTACCATTTATTAGCTCACCGATTCACACGCCTTCTGATATTTCAACTCTTTCTTTTATTTCCTTTCCCAAAAAAAAAAAAAAACAAAACAAAACAAAAAGAAAAAAAAGCAGACGAAGAACTGCACACCAAACTCATTTTATTCATGTCAGGGGCGATCACCATTTTCCACAAAACACAAAAAAACAAAAAAACAAACAAAAAAACAAACAAACAAACAAAAACAACCACACCCACAGCGGGATTTTTCTTATCTACTTTGCTGCTGGTCTCTTCTTCTTGCCTCTGTCCTGTGCGGCCCTTGATGGTGCTGCTTCTGTACTTCCTACTCCACCGAGCACGTTCACTCCCCCATACTCCTCCACTGCAGCATATGGCGGACCTCCAAATCGGAACATCACGGTGGCCTTCCGCTTCAGCTCCTTATTTTCCGCCTTTAGCACACTTATCTCTGCTCGCGCATCCTTATACATGCGCTGGAGCAGAGCCAGTTGGGCGTTTAACTGCTGCACCTCATTTGTCCTACTCTGTGGTAAGGACATCGTTTCCCATTTCACGAAATGATCCTTCCTTCCTTCATCGTTCCCTTCCCACAGAAAATCCCTCATCAACTTTTCTATGGATTTTGCTACCTTGACCGGAATCTTGAACAAAGATATGAAATAAATAGGAATCCCACTTAGCACCGTCTTAACCAAAGTGTACCTACCCCCACGGACAATAAGGCCCTACTCCACCCTTCTAACATCTTACCTATCCTTTCGCGCTTGGTTGAGGTTCAAGGGCCACCGCACTAGTTATCTCTCTTGTGGACTCGTTGAGGTCGGGAAAGAGAGTGAGCAGACCACGGGAAGACGAGGCCATTTTCTGGGCAACAGAGTGTTACAAAGTTTCTCTCTCAGAAAACGCAGAGTTTTTCAGAGGTTTTTTTCGCAAGTTTTTTGTCTTCGCCACAGCCTCAACCTCCGTCTTGGTTAAATAGCCAAGGCAGACACGCGCATCATGCGTCGCTCGGCGCTCGACGACAACATGGGCGCGCCTTTTGATGGCGCGCCTTTTGATGGCACGCCTTTTTATGGATTGGGCACGCCTTTTGATAGATTGGGCACACCTTTTGATGGTGCGACTTTTCCAACGGTCCGACATGACCACATAAACTGTCCCGACATTGATTCCGGTTAGCTTCTCCATCGGTCCGGTGTGACCTCGTCAACTGTCCAGACTTTATCTGCTACAACGGTCTGCCACAACCATCCAGTGTCCTCTACAACGTTATGACACAACCATTCAGTGTCCTCTACAACGTTATGACACACCCATCCAGTGTCCTCTACAACGTTATGACATAACCATCCAGTGTCCTCTACAACGTTATGCCACAACCATCCAGTGTCTTCACCAACGGTCTAACACGACCATACAGTGTCTCCTATCCTCTTTTATTTTATGTATTAGTCTCTTTTCTTGTTTTGTTACTCTCTCCAAACTCAAGTTGGTTAGTTCCTATCCCCCTTGAGTTTGCGGGGGGCTGTTAAAACCTACCACTACACCTACTCCACCCACTTCACCTACTCTACCTACTACTCCACCTACTACATACCTACCTCCTCTAATCTTCTATATATAGGACTCATTGTAAACATAACACATCAATCAATAATACAATTCTCTTTATACATTGAATTTTAACAGTAGTGAAATAGTAAAACAACCTCATGTACTCTTCCACGGACTTGCTTCCCCAAGTCAATTGAGTAAACTGCAAGTGGGCACACTATTTGTGGCTCAATGGAACGAAGTTATGATTCATGGCAATCTTCACATCTTCCCATGTTCGGGATAGTGGCATGATGATCTCCTCCTAATATTTAGTCCACCAAATTCTAGTTGTGCCCTTCAATTTAGATTTGGCAAAAAAGTAATTTCCTTTCACTGGTCAATTGATACCAATTAATGAAACTTTCCAAATTGTGTATCCAATCAAAAAATACCTGTGTGTCATGACCTATACCAAAACGAGGAACTAAAAGTATGGGACTCCTATCTACATTTGTCCTTCCTGCCTCACTCCAAATCCAGTAATCAACCCTCCTTGCACCACCTTGCTAAGCACATGGCCTGGTGTAGTGGTAAAGCACTAGACCCCAAAAACATGAATCTTAGGTTTTTTAGATGTCCATCTTAAATATAACATTTCAATATAAAATCCACCACCTCATTGGCTACCAAAATCACATTAAGGATATGTCTCCCTCTCACAAAAGCATTATAGGTCTCAAAAACAACCTTACCCACAACCTGTTTCAATTGTAATGCTAGCACTTTTTACAAAAACTTACAAGCACAACCGACCAAACTAATAGCCCTGGAGTCCTTCAATTCTATAATACCTCTTTTCTTCGGGATTAATGCTATGAAAGTGAAATTCAAACTTCTTTCAAAGGAGCCTCTCATGAAAATGATTGAATATATCCATAATATCCTTTCTGATGAAGTTCCTTGAATCTAGCAAGAAAACCACAGGAAAACCATCTGGACTTAGTCCCACTGCAATCCTCTAAAGCAGCCATTTTTGACATCTTGAGTCAATTATTCAAAAAGATGGAAAGATTGTGAAGGATGCAACCCATTGGGTGAAATGGATAAAAGTTTTGACATCTTTAGTCAATTATTCATAAAGATGGAGAGATTGTTAAGGATGCAACCCATAGAGAGAAATGAATAAAATGGAAAACATTAAGAGTGTTGCATACTCGTGGGATTCCTATAAGGAAATTTTTATAGGACTACTATAAGACCTGTTATGATGTATGATACTAAATACTAGGCAATTAAGGGGAAAAAAACATATTGAAAAAATGTGTAGTTGAAATGAGTTTTTTTTTTTTTTGGATCGGCAAAAGTTGGTATGGATGAGTGGTGTTACAAGAAAAGGCAAAACAGAAAAAGGAATTATTAGGAAAAAGTTAGAAAAGGCACCATATGAAAATGAAATGACTTTGCAATGGTATAGTCCTGTACATCATAGAATAGGGAATCAATTATTGTGGCTGTGAGGAAGAGTGCTTTGATCCACATGAACAGAGGCAATTAGAAAGGACTTTAAATTTTACTGAGGGTTTGACTTCAGATAGAATCAATTGAAGGAAAAGGATCATGTAGGGACAAAAGTTTGGTGACTTGGGTTGAGTATTGCAATGTTTTTCTTAAAGTTGATGGATAGTAAAGACAAAATAGAACAACGGTAAAAAAACATTGTCTTTTGTTGCAAGTTACTGATAAAAAAATGCCTTCTGTTGCATATATGGTTAACATATGTGTCAATTGCATTCATTTCGTAGTTAAGTAAAAGGATAACATTCATCAAGAGAACATAATTCTACATAAAAGTTGAGAAATTGGTTACAAATTAAAATTAAATTTTAAAATTTATTATTACACCATAGAATCTCTACAATGGAAAAGAGACTTCATTAAAATTTGAGAACTTACCTCAATGGCATATCTTTATTATCGTTCTTATTCAACGACTGTTCAACAAAAAGCATAATAGTTAAAACGAATAAAAATAAAGGTGAAATAACAATAATGAAAACAATAAATTAAATATATTTATACTGGCAGATCTATGTAGCATTCAAGAAAGGATTTGAAGATCTGGTGTACCTCCAACACACATATCTGGGCAACATTATCCCGAAGTCCAAGCTTATTAAATTCAATGCATTCCTCATGCAGCAACTTGAATCTAATATAAATATTACTGAATCAATTCCAGCTAGAAAAAAATTTACAATACCAGATTTGCTTAAGGTAATATATAATAGAATCAGCATGTACAGTGTTTTCAAATCTGAAGATGCTAGCAATGAAGGACAACTAGACAGCTCAATGGTGTCAATAGTAATTTGCTTCTTTAGAAATTGAGTTGATAATACCCCTCCCCAAGCAAAAGAAATGAGGGCCAGCACCTACTACATCGGAAAATTCAAAACAGCATGAAAATCATGCAGCTTATTGGACCCGCTGCATGCATCACAATTGTTCCAAACCCCATTACAGAATACACATGTCGAGACACATGTGTACAGAAAGGAAGTCAGCATGACACAACAAAAGCATGTTCCATATTTCAAACAAGCAACAGTGAGAAATGCTCTGGTTCTAACTTAGAACTCTAGTATTCTATGAAGATATTTCAGAATGGAGGATCATTGACAGGTGCCGAAATGCTTTTAGTCCATTTTCCTATGTTACTTGACTAATTAATATTTTATTGTGTACTTGTGGATTGAACAAGCCTTTGTGGATGAATTGATTTAATTTGGTACTCTTTGAAACCTAATTGAACCTTTGGAGGAACACAGGTCAAGTCCCAAGTGAAATCTGAATTAAATAGAAAGTTGCAGAAAGTCAGCAAAAAAGTGAGCTTTCCACATCCGCTCAAGCGGAAGCAAGAATGGAACCAAATCCACTCGAGTGGAGGCAAGGGGTTGAACTTCCAGCATCCATGTCTGTCTTAAGCTCAAGACAAGCATAACGATTAGGCCCAACTTTTCATGCCCACACAACAGACTGGGACCACTCAAATATTTTTTTTTTTTTTTTTTGATCAACAACAAAGAACTTTATTGATAAATCAAAAAGGAAAGTAAACGAGGATGAGGCATCCTCTTACAAAGAAAAGGGAAAACACAAAACAAAGGCCTAAACAAGAAAACGCAAATGCGAAAGCCTACATATCACACACTGCCAACCAATCTCTAGCTAACAAAAAAGAGGAACCCCCTTAAAAAGAGGATTCCCCAAAACCCGAAAAGAAGTTAAATGGCAAACACAATCTCACAAACAATCTATCCCTCGAGACTTATCTTCAAACGCCCTCACGTTTCTTTCCAACCATAGAACCCAAAAGGTTGCAAAGACCGCACAAGACCAAAGCAATTTGGCTCTCTTCGATCCTCCAAGAACGCGAAAGTCAACTTCGAGCATATGTGCACTCCTTTGTGGAGCTACCCACATAACATTCCCCAACAAAAATAACTTGTGCCATAGAAACAAAGCTATTGGGCAATGCAAAAATAAATGATCCACGGATTCCCCATTCTTACAACACATAATGCACCACTGAGGATTTAAAGATCGATTAGGTCTCCGTTTCTGCAATGTATCATTTGTCAAAATGCCTCCATGAACCAAGGCCCACATAAACATCTTCATCTTAAGAGGAGCACAAGCCTTCCAAATTCTCTTGGAAAAAGGAAATTGAGAAACATGAGGAGAATCGATGAGTTTATCAAAAAAAAACTTACACGAAAATATCTCAGATGAATGGAGAACCCAAACCCTTTTATCCTTCAGAAGAGGAGTCAAAGAAAAATTCTCAGACGCCAACTGTGAAGCTTCTCTATCATTAAGATTTCTAGAAAAATCAAAGTTCCAAGAAATTGGAGCCAAAAGTGAACAAGCCATAGAAGCAATAGAAGAGTTATGAGATCGAGCCACTCTATAGAAATGTGGGAAATCAGAAGCAAGAGAAGATTGGCCCATCCACACATCCTCCCAAAAACAAACAAGTTCCCAATTGCCCACCCTTATAGAAAGATGACAAGACCAACATGTGTATATATGTGAAATTGATTTCCAAGAAGCACGACAAGTACCTCTCAGGACTACCCGAGAATCCCTACCATTGTCTTGAGTCCCATACTTGCTTCTAATAACCAAATGCCATAGTGAATCACTCTCAAGTGGAAACCTCCACAACCATTTGCCAAGAACGGTCATGTTCCTAGCCAAAATGTTACCAATAGCCAAACCCCCCTTTTCCTTAGGTAACGAAACTAAATCCCAACTCACTAGGTGATCCGTCTTCCCCTCATCCTTGCCCTTCTAAAGAAAATCCCTCATCAACTTTTCTAATGCCTTTGCCACCTTAACCGGTATCTTGAACAAAGATAAGAAATAAATAGGAATACCACTCAAAACCGACTTAACCAAAGTGTATCTACCCCCGCGTGACAATAAAGCCTTACTCCACCCTTCCAACCTTTTACCAATCTTCTCCACCACTGGATTCCAAAAAGCTTCACTTCTAGGGTTACCCCCCAAAGGGAGACCTAAATACTTAAACGGGACCACTCAAATATTAATCCAAACAATACTACATATATAATGCATGGTGTGTATTGCTCAAAATCAAGTGATGCTGATTATCAAAACCACAAATGGTAGTTAAGTTAGTGGTAAAAAACATTTTGTGGAAAAGAATCCAACAAAATTTAAACCCAATATGAAGAAAATACATAAATACCATGCCAGCCTAGAATGATTACTAGAAAATACCTAAAAGGGAGCAATTCCCTTGCACTGTCTTGAGATAGCAGGGAAGAGTATGCAGGTGATGTCCATAGAATTGGAGATACAAAACCAAAGTGACACAATATTTTCTGAAATCCAGACAATTAAAAGTCACAGATGATCGGCATATACGAGTTATGTCAAAATGAATAAGTTATAAGGCATCTAGGCTACCAGGTCATCCATCATCTATGGACAAAAATTTTGGAGAACAAAGACTGAACACAACTAAAAGTCAAGTGGCCTTACCATGAAACGACCGTTTCGAAACAAGGCAATCATCAGTGACTACTCTACATGGAAAAAAAGAAGAAAGAAATGATCATAAAGATCTGGGAGGAATAATAACCTAACGTAGTGTACCTAGTTCAGAGAAGAACATGGATGAAAGTATATATTAAAAAAACAAAAAAAACCACAGATGGAAGTAGTAGGAAAAGTTCCACAATATAACCAATGGAATTTCTATTCCAAATGAAGCAGACTGGTGGATAACATCTGTATAGGAGATAAATTGTTTTTGGGGAAAATTACATTTAAAAACCTAGAGTTTGAACCTTATAACAAATTAAATTTTCTGTTTTTAATTTTGTCAACTTGAACCCTGAGTTTTTAAATTTGTTTTAATCTAAGCCATCCGTCCATCACCATTTATAGCCACTAACAGATGAATGATAAATATGTCAATTTACCCACCTCTTTCTAAATGATTTGGTAAATTTACCCATAAAACCTCTCCTTTATTTTTATTTTTTTTCTTTTTAACTTAAAGATGAAACTGTAGAGAAATAAAGGGGATGGGGAAAAGAAGAAAATAAGAAGAGGAAAGAGGGCTGGACAAGAGTGATGACGCAAAGATCCATGAGGGAGAGAAGAGGTGGTAAATATATATACATACTGCTGCTCCCTGGTTTTCGCTGTTATTGCTTTTGTAATTGAATTTGGGATTTCATAAGTTTAGAGTTTTGGGTATTCAAAACTTTGTGGGTTATAATGGGGTTGCACGTGGAGTTGTGGAAGGTGTTTATCGCAAGTGAATTAGCCACTTAAACTTTACACAGAGTGTTCTATTAGACAGAATAGAACATGTAGGATTATGCTGCAATTGATTTTTCATGAAAAAACACAAAAATATGAACCTTGGGCACAAAACAGATATGAAATGTAGAGGACTCATCCAATCCAAGTAGAGCATGAACACTCCAATTAATCCATATTTCATATCCACCCTTATCAATGTTGTACATCTGAAGCTCTATAAATCTTTACAACAAGAAACTCAAAAATTATTTTTCATAATACATATTTGTAGAAAGCTGGGGTTTATACATTTCCGCCCATGGTAGCGGCATGCTGCAAATGAAAAATGGATTTTTTTTATGGCATGCCTATGCTACCTGTGCTTTACAAACAATCACTGAATGTGAGAGCAACAAAAATGAGTGGGAAATGCAGTAGTGAAGATAGGATAGGTTTCATTGGGGTTGTGACAGTGGAGATGTATGGTGGAGGTTGGGGGGTGGTATTTGATGGAAGTTGGAATGGATTTTGTTGGGTGGTGTGCAATGGCGGTTGGGGGTGGGTTCCTAGTATGGGTGTGTGGGTTTTTCAGTATGGAGGTTGGGATCGGTTTTGTCGTGTGCTGGTGTGATGTGAGAGAGAGAGAGAGAGAGAGCTTTAATGAAAAGATGTTTTGGCAATTTTTCTAGAGCCAATTAACAGAGATCGATGGAAGATAGGCATTGAAATCATGTAAAATGTATAGGGTTTAAATTGACAAAATTAAAAATTTAGGTAACAATTTTTACTATGATCAAACTTTAGGGGGTTTTATGTAATTTTCCCTTGTTTTTTATAAGGCTTAAAGAGTGATAATGATTATATAATGAAGCAGGCAGTCAACTACATGAAGAAATTCATAGAAGTGTGAGAATATTGTGTATATATGTATATATGGTAGTGCAGTAAGATTGTGATTTGTTTCCTTTTTAGTATTGTGATTCATTTCCCTTTTAGTCTTAGGGTTAGGAATACTATATAATCAGATGTATCCTTTGTTTTTTTGATCAATTGAATATATTGAAAGACTTTCAGAAAACTTACATGGTATCAGAGCTCTGATTGAAAAAAAAAAGTCTTGGGAAACCTTAGCTCTGCATCTGATCATTCAAAGTACTCTTTGCTTCGTGCAAAACCTTGGTCTTGTCTGAATCGTGATCTACCCAGTGTCGGGATCGCAACCCATCTCGTCAGTTTCAATCGTTGTTCCATGCTCGAGGGAGCTCTCTCTCTCTAGTTCTACAATAGCAACTCTCTCTGGCCTCTCTGTTCTGGGTTTCTCTCTCGCTTCTAATCGTGATCGTGCGAGTTCTAGCTCTCTCGGTCTCTCGCTCTGATTCGAAGATCATGACCCCTGTTTCTCTCTCTCTCTCTGTCTGTTCGTGATCTCTCTCTCTTTGGGTTAACTTCTAGGCTTCGATATCTCAATCGCAATTTCTCTATAGTTCTCTAGGAGCATCGCGATTGAGTTCTCTTTGGTTCTATTGTTCATGAATCTCTCTTTCTTCTAATCTCAGTGGGTTTTATTTCTCTGATCTCTTAGAACAAGTTTATGGTTTTTACACTTTGACCACGGTTGGTATTTCTGCTTCTACTTGGGCCCCGCTTCTTTTGAGTTTTTGTTTACCAAGTACACTCAAGATGTTAAATAACAAAATTCAGGCCACCGCAACGCCCAAGAAGGGGCCTTTAGTTTTTGATGAGTGTGCTTTCTGTCATCAAAAAGGCCATTGGAAGTAATATTGTCCCAAGAAGGGACGTTTGCCTGCCTCCTCTTTTCAGCAATCTCAGAACCTATTACAGGCTCCTTCTGCTGCGTATAATGCATCTGCTCCAGCTCCTAATCCTGACTTGGTTTCCTTGACTGCTCAGATTAGTCAGCTTCAACATATATTGTCTACCTCCCAGCCATCCCCGTCTGCCTCCATTGTTTCATCTCTTCATTCAGGTTTGCTTGGGTCTTCTTCAAGTATTTCTTCGTCTGTCTGGATTTTTGACTCTCGTGCCTCTCATCATATGACTTCCCATCTCTCTTTACTTCAAAATTGTACTCCTCCCCCCTTTCCTATTACTGTCAATGTTGTTAATGGGTCTGGTATGTCTGTTATATCTGTTAGGTCTGTCCTACCATCTGCTATGTCTGTTATCTTTTCTTCTTCTATCTGTTCTATGCAAGATCGGATGTCTAAGCAGCAGATTGAGACCGGTCGTAGAGTTGGAGACCTCTATGTGGTGGAGAGCTTGCATCTGCCTATGGCAACCTCTCTAACTGCCATTTCTTCTTTTCAGTTAGATTCTCTGTCTAGTCCTTTCTACTTGTGGCATTCTAAATTAGAACATTTGTCTGCTGATCGCTTACGGTCTTTAGCTCAGTCTGGTATATTGGGTAAAGTTTCTCCTAGTGAACTTACTGAACGTCGGGGGTGTAAACTTGCCAAAATGACAGCCTTACATTTTCATAAGAGTACTTCTATATCTGATACACCATTTTCTTTAATTCATACTGATATTTGGGGCCCTTCTCCTGTTCTCACCAAAGGGGGTTCTGCCTATTATGTGTCATTTGTTGATGACTGCACTCGTTACACTTAAGTTTATCTTATGACTCATAAGTTTGACTTCTACCAAACATACCGTACTTTCCAATCTATGGTCACTACATAGTTTGGGTCTACTATTAAATTGTTGAGGTCTGACTTGAGCAGGAAATACTTTAAAACTAAATTCTGTGAATATTTGGCCAAATTAGGTACCATGCACCAAACTTCTTGTACTGATACACCTGCCCAAAATGGTTGAGCTGAGCGTAAACACCGTCATCTCCTTGAGACAACTAGATCTCTCATTCTCTCTGCCTCTGTTTCGGCTCCATTTTAGGAAGAGGCAATTCTTACTACTTTTTTTCTTCTCAACCGTATACCTACCCCCTTCTTTCTGCTCGGTCTCCTTATGAGACTCTGTTTTCTCAACTTTCCAATTACTCCCTCCTTCGTGTGTTTGGGTCTGCTTGTTTTGTCCTTTTACCCCGTAAAGATCGGACCAAACTTAGTGTCCGGTCTATCTTATGTGTCTTTTTGGGTTATAGTCTCACTCAGAAAGGTTATCGCTGTTATGACCCTATTTCCCATCGCCTTTATGTCTCCCGCCATGTTGCCTTTCTCAAACGTCTGCCTTACTTTCAGCTTCCTTCTCTCGCAGCCCTAATTTCTAAAGAGGATTTGGTTCATATTGATTCATTTCCTTCTGAGGTCTCGTCTGATGAGTACATCTCCACAGTTCCCCCTAAGCTTGTTCCATCTTCTCCTCCTACTTCACCTCTGGCTACTTCTCCTTCGGTTTCTTCTCCATCTCCGTTGTTAGTTTATTCTCGTCGTAAGGCTTCTCTTCCATCAGTTGTCTCTACCCCTACTGCTAATCCTCCTGCTTCTGACGACTCTGATCCTGCTGCACACCGATATCCTACTTGAGCGCATCATCCTCCAAACAGGTTGGGTTGGTCTAATACATGTTTTTCTATTTCCTATCGTACTTTTTTGTCTACTATTCACTCTTTTTCAGAACCTCAGTCTTACAAGGAAGCCTGTCAGGATCCTCATTGGGTTCAAGCTATGGAGGATGAGTAGTCTGCTTTACAGAAAACTAATACTTGGGAGTTGGTTCCTTTGCCTACTAGTAAGAATCTGGTTGGTTGCAAATGAATCTACAAAGTCAAGACTCATTCTGATGGTTCTCTTAAGCACTACAAAGCTCGTCTGGCTACCAAAGGTTTCTCCTAGGAGTATAGTATTGATTATGAGGAGACTTTTACTCTCGTTGCCAAGATGACTATTGTCCGTACTTTGATCTCTGTCGCTGTTGTTCGTTCTTGGCCTCTTTATCAAATGGATGTTAAAAATGCTTTTCTTAATGGCCATCTCACTGAAGAGGTTTACATGCATCCTCCCCCTGGCCTTCAACATTCCTCTAGACAGGTTTGTCGCCTTCGGCGTGCTCTGTAGAGTCTGTATGGTCTGAAGCAGTCTCCTCATGCTTGGTATAATCGCTTTCAGACTGCTATTACTGAACTTAGGTTTTATCCTTGTGCCTAGGACTCTGCTTAGTTTCTTCTCCACACCTCTGCTGGGTTTGTTGCATTATTATTATATGTGGATGATATGATCATTACTGGTTTTGACTCTTCTACTATATCTGAGGCCAAGCAGCATCTTTTTCACACCTTTGAAATGAAGGATCTAGGCCCATTGCAATATTTTCTTAGTATTGAGGTAGCTTCTTCTCCCAAAGGCTACTTTCTATCTCAGGCCAAGTATGCCAATGGGTTATTCATCGTGCCGGTGTCACTGACACTAAGATTTCTGATACCTCCATTGAGCTTAATGTAAAGCTCAACACTACTGATGTTGTTCTTCTAGATGATCCTATTTTATATCGAGAGCTCGTAGGTTGCTTAGTCTATCTGACGATTACTCGTCATAATCTTACCTATGTTGTTCATGTGGTTAGCCAGTTTGTCTCTGCTCCTCGCTCCACACATTAGGTTGCATTGGTTTGGATTCTTCGCTATCTTCGAGATACTATATTTCAAGGTTTACTATTGTCCTCTACTTCCTCTTTGGATTTGGTGGCCTATGTTGATTCTGATTGGGCCGGTGATATTACTGATCGCAAGTCCACGTCTGGTTTCTGTATGTTTCTTGGCGATTCCTTGATCTCTTGGAAAATCAAGAAACAAACTGTTGTTGCTCGCTCTACTGCCGAAGCTGAGTATCGTACTATGGCTCATACTACTGCTGAAGTTGTCTGACTTTGTTATCTTCTCTCTGACTTAGGCGTCCCTCAGTCTTCTCCAACCCCCCTCTATTGTGACAACCGCAGTGCTATTCAAATTGCCCATAACATTGTCTTCCATGAGTGGACCAAGCACATTGAGATTGATTGTCACTTTAGCATCTGCAGTCTGGCTCTATCTCTCTTCCTTTCGTCTCTTCGACTCTGCAACTTGCTGACTTCTTTACCAAGACTCACACCACTGTCCGGTTTCGATTTCTTCTTGGCAAACTCTTGGTGTTTTTTGCTAAAGCACCTTGAGTTTGAGCGAAAGTATGAGAATATTGTGTTTATATGTATATATAGTAGTGTAATGAGATTGTGATTCGTTTCCTTTTTAGTATTGTGATTCGTTTCCTTTTTAGTCTTAGGGTTAGGAATACTATATAATCAGATGTATCCTTTGTTTTTTTGATCAATTTAATATACTAAAAAACATTCAGAAAACTTACAGGGAGAAGATGTAATATCAAGTCATAATTGACACATTACTTCTTCTAACCAATATAAATTAACAAGGGATGGCCATTAAGAAACATAACTCGTTTACCTTGAGATGCGCCAAAAGATTGCACAACCATCAACTGGATCACCAGTTCGCATCTACAAATTCACAAAAACATAATTAGACCTTGCCTATCAGTTTAAAAGAGAAAATCTCATCTACAATGAAGTGAGTTCAAAATTTACAAACACTAAATACTGTTACACAATTGCTCTCTAGTGACTAAACCAGATTATCACTTTCATATTCTCAGAGACTTCGGGATTCACAATACCCAGCAATTTATTATACGAAGACAAAGTAACAAACTATGAATTGCCAACTTCGACTAATTCAGTCTTCAATTGCCTAGCTAGCTCAGGCATGAATATATTTCCTTCAATTGCCTAGTTGGTCAAGAATGATACATAAACTTAAGCTGTTTAAATAAAATAGGTAAAAGGTGCATCTGTTATTCAAAGTGGTGCAACAGAACTACATCAGCGATGAGTTTAGTACATCTCCACTCCTTTTCCCCCCTTCGTGTTTGTTCTCTGCTCCTTTTTACATTTTTGTGGTAGAATTCTCCATGTCGCATGCGCACTTTTCTCCTCGTACTTTCCTTGTCAAAAAATTAAATCATGCCGCATTTTTTTAACTATTGAGTCGTGATAATGACCTCTCTACAAATGATTGGTTGGTTGGATGGCATACCGAGTAGATGATAAAACTTTGATTTTCATTAGTAAGTTTTTTCAATTAATGAAACTTTACAAAAGAAAAAAAAAAAGTGCAACGTCTGTGTTTTCCAACCTATAGCTGACTTAAGGCTCTTATCAGAGTCCCAAAATCCAGGTCCTCAAACATTGTTTCAACCTTTGATGTCATGGTGTCGAAACCGTACCTAGTACTAGCAAACTGGATCTTATATATATATATATATATATATACTGTTATGCAACAATGATAGATGCTGTGATATACATGTTCATGCATCAAGCACAGTTCGGGAAAAAGAATTGCAACTAAGGGTCAACACAACACATGGAAAATACTATAGCATCCTTCAAAACAAACCTTCCAAATGCCACTGTATCCCCGACACTTTAACTCCTCTTCTAACTCCTGAAATCTATCAACCTCCTGAAGTAGGATAAAAAGAAGCACAAATGTCGCTATTTTCAACTGACAATAAGCAGGATAATGAGATACCAATAATTATAGGATAGTATGAAAATTATATCACAAATCACATACAACTAAAAGTGCAAAACAGAAACAGCTTCAGTGAGAGGAAGAGTATAAGATTTTTGTGTACTTGTACAGAAAAGAAATGAAGAAAATGCATTGAAAATAGCGTAAAAGACACAAAACGACAGCATATCAAAAACACCAATTACTAATGGCCAGTAAGATAGAGAGGGAGCTCATTTGATCTCCAAATTTGATGAAATTATTTCCAGCCAATGGTTATCAAAAATATGTAATATCGGCATATCCACGTCCAGTATATTTTTACATTGGTAGAACTTGTGAATCAACCTCAATAATTACCTTAAGCCATATAAAGTTGCAGAAACTGAGAGCTTAGATACCACCAAAGAAAAACTAAATTTGTGTTACTAAAGAATTTTACTGAGATACTGAAAAACATCTGTCGTCAGGAACAATTCCATTCAGGGATCACACATGTAGAGAAACAAATAAATTTTGCCCATAACTTAAAATGATTTAGTTACTTCTCAAAGTACATGGTGTCTACGTGATTGTAGTAACTTGCAAATGTAACAAAACCTTATACCTGAAATATATTAGGATTGAACATTAGGATTGAACATGATGCCATACACATATCATTTGGTTGAGTAGAAAGATACCTGAAAAGCTTCAGAGGGGATTTCCCAGGGGCAGGCTAATAGATGAAATTTATTATTTGATTTGAGTGGGATGAGATCCACCTTAAAGTGAGAAGAAAAGGGCTCAAGTATCAAGAAGCTTGTAAGTTCAATAGAGCTTCATTTAGGAGTGAAAGTTTACAATCAAAAGGGTAGTTTGTGGAGAAGGTTGGTGAAAGGAAAGAATGGGAGCACATTGCGTAGTCAGCCTCCAATGAGGTGAAGATGTCGTATAGAATCAGCTTACAAAAAGGCATAATAACCAAAGGATGGTGAGGCTCCTCAAAATATGAGGATTAAATTATGGTAGTACACTTGATTTGGGAATCAAGTTTGAATGTTGCATAGCCAGAGATTTTCAGGATAGCTATGGATAAGAAAGCCCTTGTAGATATCTAATGTGTGCCCATTACTTCCATACGTTTAGAGCATTGCACATGTTGGAATCTGCAGATTCCTCGTAGAGATGCTGTATGACGTTATGAAGAATCGGCTTTGGTATAAGGTTCTAAAATTGGATACTTTATAAGGAGCTTTACGGTGAACATTCATTTCCTCATTTATAGCAATGGTGCCATATTTTGTTTGGATGGCTGCGTTAGGAGCCACTTCAATGGACAGCAAAGGGCAACAAATTTCTTACAAATGAGCATTACATGCAGAACAGCAAAGGACAGTGTTGGCAACCTTGCATTGCATTGTGAAGTAGACAGGTAGTTCAGGTGCCTCTCGTATTCTTTGTTTAGAATGGCTTGGGTCATGCAAATGTCTCAGTAACATGCTGGGGCATTAAAACAGAAATTGAGCTTGGTGGAGGGTGAGGAAGGTATGGGAAGCTCCTCCATTGTGTCTGATGTGATGTACTTGGAAAGACCAAAACAGGCATACCTCTGAGAGTGTGCTGTGCAAACCTCGAGCATTGCCCCATTCTTTGGTGGAGTTTATGGCTCATATACACTGATCTATGGATAAATAGTAGGCTTTTTATCGTATACCCTGCATATTTGTCGACTATGCGCCTGCTTTTTGGCTACCTTTCACTCATTGCTAATACAAAAAGAATAAAAATAAACAGTAGAAAGAAAGGGGAAAAAAAAGACCCAAAAAGGAAAAGAAAAAGAAAGATACTCTAAACATATCAAAATGATAACCTGAAAGCACAATATATCAGCTGACCATAACCCAAGCTCAAAAATGATATTTCTCTTCCGCCATTCCCACTCCAACATATGACGAGGTATGTGAAAGTAAAGTTTGCTTCGATGATTAATAGCCAAGTAGTCAGCAAGTATGTTGTACGAGAGGACTGTAAACCGCTCTGCAAACCATACCAGCAAACTTAGATTAGGTTAATTTGTTGACTTTTTTTTCATTTCTTGGGTTAACAGCATCCAACTATACTTGTCAAAACAAGAAACAGCTTTTCATCACAAAACTACCCATATATTTTTAAAATAATAATATAACCCAAACTCATTCTATAGCACAAGCAATCCCATTTTGTAATGTATTGCCAATGTCACTGTCAAACTGACATAAAACAAGAAGCTCCCTTGCCCACCATCACAATTACATGTGGTTGCTAACTTGCTATTTAGATATTGGTTTGCCACTTACAGATCTTGTTAAAATTGATGTATTATTGATTGATGTTTTGATTTATATTACAAATGATGAGGGGCTCCTTATATAGGAGATGTAGTGGAGTAGGTGGTAGTAGGTGGTAGTGGTAGGTGTGTAATAGGTGGTGGTAGGTGTAGTAGGTGGAGTAGGTGATGGTAGGTTTTAACAGCCCCCCGCAAACTCAAGGGGGATAGGAACTAACCAACTTGAGTTTGGAGAGAGTAACAAAACAAGAAAATAATCTGAAAAATAAAAAATGGATAGGAGACACTGTATGGTCGTGTCAGACCGTTGTAGAAGACTGTATGGTAGAAGACACTGGATCGTGTCGGACCGATGTAGAAGACAGTTTATGGGGTCATGTCAGAAGTTGAACCAAATTTGAGTTATGGAAGCCCAATATTGCATCCTCTGATGCTCTGAATAAAGGTACAAAAAATTGGTTGGGAAATCATGGTTGGGTTTCCGTTCTAGTGTTGATGTTAATGCTGTTTGGGGTTGACTAACTGGAATCAATGTCGGGACAGTTTACAGAGTCTTGTCGGACCCATAAAGGAACTAACCGAAATTAATGTCGGGACAGTTTACAGAGTCTTGTCGGACCCATAAAGGAGCTAACCGGAAGTAATGTCAGGACAGTTTATAGAGTCTTGTCGGACCCATGAAGGAGCTAACCGGAATCAATGTCGGGACAGTTTACAGAGTCTTGTCGGACCCTTAAAAAGTCGCACCCTCAAAAGGCGTGCACAATCTATCAAAAGGCGTGCCATCAAAAGGCGTGCCCAATCCATAAAAAGGCGTGCCATCAAAAGGCGTGTCCAATCCATAAAAAGGTGTGCCGGACATGATGGCGATACACGTGACGACCTTGGCTTGCGCGCCCATGTTGTCGTCTAGCGCCGAGCGGCACACGATACGCGTGTCTGCCTTGGCTATTTAACCAAGATGGAGGCTGAGGCTGAGGCTGAGGCTAAGGCATAACAAACCAGTTGAAATCTCTTCGTTCTCTGAGAGCTTGTCGCTAAGAGTTGCAAATCTTGAAACACTCTGTAAACACTCTGTAACCAACCCTTCTCTGAAACACTCAGCAACCCATAACATGGCCTCGTCTTCCCGTTCAGCTACCCAGAATATGGCCTCTTCGTCCCGTGGTCTGCTCACTCTCTTTCCCGACCTCAACGAGTCAACAAGAGAGATAACTGGTGCGGTGGCACTGGAACCTCAACCAAGCGCCCCGGAGTTTGCTCCGTTGAACTTTCCTATGCGGTCTGTGGAGCAAAGAATGGCAGTGCAGTCGGATGTGGAGGCCAATCAGTATACATTGAAGTCATGTGTGGAAACCATGACTGCGGTCACAAACTTGTCGCACCGGCTGCAGAGTAGGACAAATGAGGTGCAGCAATTAAAAGCCCAACTGGCTCTGCTCCAACGCATGTATAAGGATGCGCGAGCAGAGTAAAGTGTGCTAAAGGCAGAAAACAAGGAGCTGAAGCAGAAGGCTACCGTTATGTTCCGATTTGGAGGGCCGCCATATGCTGTAGTGGAGGAGCAGGTGGGAGTGAATGTGCTCGGTGGCGTGGGAAACACGGAGGCCGGACTGGCACGGGACCCCCAAGATAAAAGTAAGAAGAAGAGACCTGCAGTAGAGTAGAGAAGGGAAAAGAAAAATCTCACTGTGGGTTGGTTGTGTTTGTGTTTGTTTGTTTGTTTGTTTTTTTTTTTTTTTTTGTGTAAAAGTGGGAGCAGGGTGGAAACCTGAGATGAATAAAATATGGTTTGTTGTTCAAATTCGTAATTTTTTTTTTTTTTTTGTGTGTAAAATTGTGATCGGGGTTAATCCCTGAGATGAAGAAAATATGGTTTGTTGTGCAAAATGGTAAATTGTGTTCGTTTTTTTTTTTTTTTTTTTTTTTTTTGAAAGATAGAGTAAAATAAATATAAAAAAAAAAAGAAAAGAAAGAGAAGTGGGAAACAGGAGTGTAATGAAAATGAAAAAGTATAGGTTAGAGAATCTGAGCATCGTGGGTCACATGGGTGAGTGGTGGTGAAGGAAGTAAAAGAAAAAAAATAAAGAAATTGAGTGGGTGACCCAGTGGATGTCCGTGAGGAGAGAGGGAGAGAGAGATTGAGTGGGTGCCCCCATGTGCGTTGCAGAGACCACCACTCACTCTTTCTTTACTGTCTGCAAGTTTTGCTAATAGATGGATTCCATTTTGCCGTAAACATGACATTGAGCCTAGGAATCCAGAATCTTATTTCAATTTGAAGAAGGATCCTTATAAGAACAAGGTGAAGACTGACTTTGTCAAGGATCGTAGACGGGTAAAACGTGAGTATGATGAGTTCAAGGTTCGCAGCAATGGCCTGCCCGACTCGATCCGCCGTCGTTCTGAGGCCTATCATGCTCGAGAGGAAATAAAGGCCTTGAAGCAACAGAGACAGAAGACCGATGATGAACCTGTGGAGAGTGTGAAGATCTTGAAAGCTACATGGATGGCTGACGGAACCCATTGGCCTGGGACTTGGTTGAATCCTACACCAGAGGTGCATTGCAGTATCCCATGACACAAACATGCCGAACTACCCATGATCTGTCATTGGTTGCTGCAAACATGTACTTGAATCAAAACTGTTTCCATTAGATCTGATGATCATTAGTCCGAGATTGGTGCTGGTGCGAGATCTACGAACACAGCGCGAGGGACGTGCTTTCCGACGCTGGTTTCACTGAAGAAGGTGTTGAAGGAACATGTGTCCAAGCTTCAGACGAAGGATGCAGAGTGTGATGTGATTCAAAAGCGTTTAAATGATCTGGAACAGAATACTGTATCATCCTTGAGAAAAGCTCTCAAAGATGTTGCGATGGAAAAAGATGCTGCAGTTGTTGCACGGTAGTGTAGGAGGATCTCTCAGCCCAACTTCGCACGATTAAAAAACGAGTAAAAGAAGCAGAAGAAGAACAATACCGTGCAGAGGAAGATGCAGCAACATTGAGAGCAGAATTAAATTCATTACAGCAACAAGCAATAAGTGGTCTACCTGGGGGCAGAGGGAGATTCTTGTTGGATGAAGAAGAAGAAGGAGGAAAGAGGGGAGTGAGAGCATGTGTAGAGGTCCGGCGGGCGGCCAAGGCGAGGTTGCCGCCCGCCGGTGAAGCAGAATTACTAGTTTCTTAACCTTGCTCTGATACCATGTTAAAATTGATGTATTATTGATTGATGTTTTGATTTATATTACAAATGATGAGGGGCTCCTTATATAGGAGATGTAGTGGAGTAGGTGGTAGTAGGTGGTAGTGGTAGGTGTGTAGTAGGTGGTGGTAGGTGTAGTAGGTGGAGTAGGTGATGGTAGGTTTTAACAGATCTACGTGACAGCGTGACCATTTCTCTTTTACCAACTTGTGTTCTATCAATCTACTACGAATCATGGACACTTCTATAGAAAAGGCGTGTTGTGTCAGACATGACACTCTGTAGACACTTTTAATAGTGTGCCCAACACTTATTCAATGTATCTTAATTAAATTTTAAATTCATAATATCATACACTACGACGACACTTCTTGAACCCACCGAAACCCACCGAACACAACCTAAGTGATGAATCTCTTCATAGTAACAATATTTTGTATTCTTTGGAATGTAACTTGTGCACTCTTATTCACCCAAAAAAAAAAACTTGTGCACTCTAAACAAATTTTGAAACATTCAAAAGATGAATTCATCAGGAATATTTTAACGTTCTACAATTGTTTTACAGTCTTTATAATGCACTTGATATGTGAATGCTATCTGGATGTTTAAGATATAAAATATGTAATTTTTTAATATAATTAATGTTATGTTACTTTTTTTCATTACTGCTAAATAGACTATTTGTGGGTACTTGTATCAAGCCCTACAGGTGCCACATCACCAAAACCCCACCCACGTGACAGACCAATAAGGCACCACGTGGGTATATCGTATGTTTGATACATGGCAAGCCAAGGGCGCCATGGGCCAAGGTACTACACAAAACCAAGACTATATGCTTAACCTAAGTGGGAGCATACATATAAGCCCAAATATATCTAAATATAAAGAGCTCTGCAACAGGCAGCACCATGGGCCCGCAGGGCCCATGGTCCTTCATACCTCACTCCAAGACCAAACAACAATACAACCAGCCCCCAGTTCACTTGAACTTTGATTGATAAACACTAGCCCTCCTAAACATTGAGGTAAGCCCGAGGCCCATTCTCCTACTTGGTCGCTTGGAAGCGAGCCACCGGCTCTCTTAAACACTAAAATGGGCCCTGGCCCATTCACCTACTTGGATGCCTGGGTTGGGAGCAGGACCCATGCACTACTGCTCGGGATCATCAAAGGACACTAGACTGGCGGTTAAGGTCATGGAATCGTCGAGATGGTTGTCTTCTTGCTAAGACAACTCCATCTCGACCAGGCTTGGAGAAGAGGCAACAGTGACCTTACGTTCATGTCATCCGATGCATATACGAAACGCTACTTTCCGCCTACCATGAAACATTGCTCTCCACCTACCGTAAAGCTACAGACGGCAGAAGGGTTTATATCACTTCTGGCAGAGTTGAGGAGAACGAGCCACCTGTCCAACAGTTTGCTTGGGCTCCAACACTCCTGTGGCCTATATAACATATCGTATATGCAGCGAGACAAAACAACAATACAACTAAGTCTTACGCTTAAACACCCCCTCTCACACTCTACATTAGTGTTCAAAGTCTATCACTGCCAACCTCTCCCTCTCCAAGCTTGCCTTGACCTACTCCTCTCCACCTCCAGTGATCTCAAGCCATTGAAGTGCCCGCCATCTTCCCAGACTACGTCTAACCACACCTCTCACCCACACTATTCACATGTTTGACATATAACATATTTATAAAATATAAATTTTTAAACTGTCCCAGGTGTATCATGTCCTGCATTTTTTTAAAATCACCATGTCAACATGTCCATGTCAAATTGCATGTATGCTATGTAACAACATCATTGTATCTTCCCAAACTCAATGCAGCTTCTTTCCTCAAGTTCACCTTACAAAAAAATAACATTTTGAGTTGCTTATTTCTGTCATACAAAGCATGAGGTAATGGAGTACAGATAAATTAGTCTAAGGTTAGTTGCTTGGTATGAAGACCTCAGTCATCTTGCTCAACAAACCAAAGAAGATCTTCTGTTGTTTGTTCAGGTAATGTTATACATTCATGGTAGGGTGCATTAGAGTTTTTTTTAGAAATAAACCGAGTGAATCATATTTTATAAAAACCTAAGTTTTCGTGCCATTCATCATTGTGGCAGTCAATCTCTCTTTGGAGGTGATCAATCGCTATAGCAGAAAGGGGCCTTGAATGATTTCATAAACAGATAGCAGCGGTCGATAATCTCTCTAGTGCTTTGGTTCAACTAATTTCAACTCAGATTATAGCGATCAATAGAACAATTGTGATCGATCAATCTAGCGGAATTTTGAATAATCACATCCTTTAAAGGTTTGGTTTGGCTATATAAAAACTTCTTAACTTGTTCTTAGGGATCCCGATCAGTGTTTTTACACAACTGTATTTTTAAAAGCTCAAGAAAAATTCAAACATTAGTTGTTAATATGTGACAGATTTCTCAGAGTGATTACTTTCAAAATTTTGCATGCTTTAATTTTATCATAACAAGTTAAAAATTGGCAATCAGATTTAAATTGAATTTTAATAATTTGGGGGAATTGGCCTATTCAACCCCCCCTCCAGGCACAATTTTATCGGACTCCAATATTTCACAACTCATCGTGTGCACAACATAGACCAAGTCAATCCTTCATTCTAATGTAATCTTTCACCCTTTTGGTACGGAATCATACATAATTAAATGTTTTGACATGCCTACATTTATCAGTTTTACTGTCCCATGTTACTTCAACAAATCGGCATTTGGTTCGCGTAATTCCCATCAAAAGACTATGTTTTGGTGCCTTTCCACGAGTGAATATACATTTTGGTTGGCATTTTGGGATTACTTATCATGCATTCAAAACCCAAATTTTGTTCACAAACCAAAACAAGTGACTCAAAATGCTATTATAAATTTGTCCCATTTGCATCTTTTTTAGGTTTTTTCATGCTCAAACATAATAAAACCACATCAGCATATAGCAGGAACAAAATTACCGCAGTGAGGAGGCGGCATTGGCTTCGCAAACTCCCAGTTCCGGTAATCCAAAGGCTTCGGAGACTGCGGACGAAACTGCTGCGGCCGACAAAACGGTTGATTGTGATTGAAAGGCGGCGGCGGCGGTGGTGGATAACTGAAATGCGGTGGTGGATGATTGAAAGTCGGCGAAGGATTGAAAGGCGGTGGAGGATTGAAATGCAGTCTTGGATTGAAATGAGGCCGAGATTGAGGCCGAATAGCGAAATTTGGTCCCTCCACGGGCCGAAACCCTCGATTGGCGTCGCTGACGGACTGGAAGTGAGAGTCGCCGGTGACGAACTGACCTCTGCCGCCTCCGCCGCCGGCGGAGGGGCGGTCGGAGAAGTCTCTGCGCCATTGATTCCGAGTAGGTCTGTACTGTAACGAGTGAACACGAATGAGTGAGAGTGTTTATGCATATAGATACAGTTATATATGTATGTGAGGAGTGAAGAAGAAGAAGAAGAAGCTTACGGGGCGGCGAGAAGACATGGTGGTGGTAGCGGCGGAGGAGGAGGAGGAGGAAGAGGAGGAGGCTGCGGCGGCGAGGAATTGGAGGGAAGGAGAAGAAGATCGCCTCATTAGCGACTCAAAGCGCTTTGTCCACGCTGTGTAAACGAACATAGAAATAAGAGAAACATGCGTATTTACAAAATTTTCGAAAAAAATTACATGCCGCTCACTCACATGAGTGTTGGGTTGCACAGTTTGTGAGCCTCTCCCCATGTGTATGGTATATAACTTTTTAAAGGGTAAATTACAAATATATCTATGAAATTTGATTAAAATACAAATCGCTCTCTGTAGTTTTAGAAATTACATTTCACCCATTGAAATTTCTAATTTCATAACAAATCTTCCCTTTTATTAATAAATCATCAAGTCAAATAACAGTTTTTAATGATGTTAAAAATATGTTTTAATTAATAATTTAGATAATTTTATTATTGTTTGGGAGAGTAATTATGAATTTTATTTTTTTAATTAATTTTATTAAATAAAAATTCTAACAAAAAAGTATTTATAATTTTTTAAATCACAATAATCTGTATTTTAAACAAATTTCAAATAGTGTATTTGTGATTTATCCTATTTTGTTTTTCTCCCAATTATGTTGGAGATGAAGGGGTGGGCGCGGGTCGGTTGCGGTCACGGAACCTCCAATCCGCCATCCGTTCGCCAGATTCGCGAATTGGAGAAAATCAATCTGCATCCATCCGCCAATTCGGCGGATGTGGATTGAGCGGATTGGCGGTTTGGCGTATGTATGCGAATCGGTTTGGCAGTTTCAAATTTTATAAATTTTCAACATAATTCAACTTATGCACTTCCTCAAAAAAAATATATATATATATATATTACAGTCAATGACTTAAAAAAATATTACCATCACTGCATGCCTCATCCAAAGTAAAAAAGTTTGAAACTTTAAAATATCACAATCACTGCATGCCTCATCCACATACTACAATCACATCATGCCTCATCCACATAAAGTATTACAATCTGTAGTTCTTAAAATATAAAAATAATTCAAACCACCAAAACTATGAACATAGCAGTAGTAGAGATGGTATGTCTTTGGATTATTACATCTATATTTGTTTTTGAAAACAAAAACCAACCAGCATATATTATATTTTCTATTTATTATTTTTAGAGATAGATTTAAAAACAAAAAATATATAGATAAATAATACGTTTTTTTTTAATTCAAAAAATATATTCAAGTTGAAAACTTTTTTTCAACAGAATATTTTAACTCTTTTTTAATTGAAAATACAAACAAAATATTTAAACAAACTGAAAACACAAAGTCTTATAAATTATTAGGAGTGCTCGCGTTTTGGCGGTTTGGTTGCGGCCAAAAGAATCTCAAATCCACCATCCGTCCGCCAGATTAGCGGATTGGAGAAAATCAATCCGTAACCGTTCGCTCATCATCACGCATCCGTCCAAAATGCGGCGGGTCGGGTCGGGTCGGCCAATTTTGGCGGTTCGACGTCCGCTGCTTACCCCTAAAGATGAGTGAAATTTTAGCTTGGATCTGAAAATTATTTAAGTACTTTTATTAAATAAAAAAATTTGTGATTCTTGCTTCTTTTTTAAATAGTTATAATTACGATCGTGTTAGTTTCGATATAAATTTTTATACAGCTTGAAAGGGTGTTTAGGGTTTTATTTTTTTATTTTTTATGAAAAAATATCCAAAAAAATAAAGAGAATAATATGATATTTATAATGATTTTTTTTATTTTTTTTTCTATAAATTTCCCAAACTTGTACTAGATGTAAATTAAACACATATAATGTGATAGTGTAAATTTTTTTGTTTTGGTTTTAATGAATCCCTTGAAAGGGATTCTGGGTGAAATCTCTCTTGGGCATTTTTTTAGGATAATGGACAACTTAACTAATTTAGGTTAGATTTGGCATCTCTTAAAAAAGTTAAAAAGTCACTATCCTATTTAAGTTATATCATCTTATTTAAGTCACATCACCTCTCTACCACATCACTTCAAACCCAACTCATATTTTATAAAAAGTCAAAAAGTGCACTTATTTATAACATTTTCAAACAACCCTTTAGTTTCAAAGAGTTCCTGAGAAAGATGAGAGTAGTTCAAGAATGACATATCATAATTGTGTTCTTTTTTTATGGACAATACTACCCATTCATGTATTTATATATATACCATATATTATATATTTGAAAATTTGATCCATATATACATGATCTCATATATTTGAAAATATAATCAGTGAAGATCTCGCAAAAACTCGATCTCAAAATCTAAAAATTTCGTTATCGATCAACAATAGACAATTTGCCGCCGACGATCTCACCAAATTTGGTTCGATCACGTGTTCTCCGGCAATATCAAAATTTGTATCAACGAGAGCTTTATATTTCAAAACTATACAAATCTGTATCAGATTTTGAGAGCTTCATCAAGATTGAGAGTGTTGATCGAGTTTTAGAGGTTTTGCTTCGATCACTTATTTGATTATTGTTCGAGATTGATAAGGTATCACAACGCAACCCCGCCCCTATAGGTTTAGGGTCGTAACCGGCCAGTAATCGTTGGATTACCAAAAGCCTTTTAACAAAACAACATATAATAAGGAGCTGCAGAAGCAAAAATAAAGAATATACAATGTCCATAGAGCTCTGTTAACATATATGAGATAGAAATCTTCAAAACAAACTGGTATATATATAATGTCATAATTACATTATTCATACGTCGCCCATTCATAAACATGAAAACCAACAGAGGGCTTAGCCTAGTACAGATATAGAGAACAAAATCAACTAAAGCCTTGACATGGTCCTCTCAAAATGAACCACCTCGAGAGGCACGATAGTTGGCTGATGAAACAGAATCTTAGGCCATCAACTCTGGGTCTGGTCACGTACCTGCTCACCTACATACATAATATAAATAGTGAGCTGGAGTCCAGTAAATAATAACGGAGTAAAGGATTTAAATAAATGATGTCCATAACAGGTACCGAGATCAAAGTTCATATTAGAAACAGATATATTTATGTTCTTGTTCAGCTACATACAGAAATCAGAGTTCATGCATCGTTATACATGGTACATCTATTAGCATTAACTTGCTTGGTAGTTCTATTGGGAACCTCTGATACCGGAAAACTTGTAACTTGTTTGAATCACGGTATTGTTACCCCCGGGTAAGGGCCATGAGACCACGATATTATTACCCCCGAGCAAGGGCCTTGCTTTTCAAAGTACGGTATTGTTACCCCCAGACAAGGGCCTTGTGCTAAGGATGCCACGAATACATTTCAGAAACTTGGACAATCATTTATTGCACAGAATATAACATTTCATAAAACAAATCTTAATTCATATCATTCAGAAAGTAATTAAATTAAACATAGCTTTACTAAGTTATTACTTACAGATAGCTCCACTTGTAGAACGGGCAAATCAAATAACTTGTGGCGTGTGACCTACACACACATAGTAGAACACATAATGAAACACACACTCAGTTGGTACTTAACTTTTTTCGTTTCATTCTTAGTGTGTTTATAAGTCTTAATCTCTTATTGAGTCTTAATCATGGCCTATGAGTGCCTAAGATGCAACGAGCATGCTAAAATGCACTTGAACACATTTAACAAAACTTGCAAAAAATAGGGGTCCCGCTCGAGCGTAACTTCCCTCGCTTGAGCGAACATGCAAGCATGTAAGGGGACGCTCAAGTACAACTTCCCTCACTCAAGCGGTCTGTAAACTTTGAAAAAGTCCTGGTTATGTGAAATCTCCGCTCGATGGCCGCTTGACTCTCACTCGAGCGTGAGACTCATGCCCTTGCTAGAGCGCAACTCTTGCCGCTTGAGCGGTCTGCAAAACACGTAAACTTCTGGGAGCATGCATTTCACGCTTGAGCGGACTTTATGTCACTCTAGTGGAAGTGTAAGATCACAGAGTGGCCACTCGAGCGTAGATTCTGCCGCTCGAGCGGGAATGCAGAATCTGGAATTTCCAGATTGCACTCCCAAGCTCCAAACTTGAATTCAAAGCCATTAAACTCAACCTTTGAGCCCAAAACTTGAGAAAAACAAGTCTAAACTTGGAAAACATAGAGAATTGAAGATCATCTCGTGAAATCAAGGTCCAAAAGCATGTCAATTGACCAAAACCCAACTCGAAATATACAAAACATATCATGTATGCAATGGTTTGACTCCAAAGCTTCAAAAACATGATAAAGTGATATAAATTGATGCAACATAAGATGAATTCTCAAAACATATGTGAGATGACTACATGTAAGTTTAAATCCTTTGAGATTAACCTCCAAACTTCATGAATTACACATGCTTGTGAAAATCATTAGAAACATACTCAAAATGCTATGATATATATATAGATATGCATGCATGAAATTATCGTCTTTTCTAATTCATTAGCCCATCTCTTGCATTATTTAGCTTAATCCTCAAGAATTATTGTATTGAAGTCTTGATTACAAAGTTTGAGGTCAAAATTCTTACCTAGAGTCTCAATTGCACAAGTGTAGAACTTCAACTCCCAATTTCTTGCAAATCTCCAACAATTCCTAACTTTGAGTTCAATTTTCTTTCTATCTTTCTTTCTCCCACGTTTTTCTCTTGAAATAAGGTGGTAGAAGAGTGTAAAAGTGAACTAAAGAGTTCACATGGGCCTTATATAGGCTCAAACAAAAAACTTAATTAAGTTTGACTTAATTAAACAAAATTGTACTATTTTGTTCTAATTATTTCGTTCCGAGCCAAATTTTAATTAAACCTACCGTAAAATTCTAAAAATCTCAAATAACACATAAACCAAGTCAATTTCTGAATCGGATGCCAACAAGGCATTCAATTCGCAAACCAAAACGGAAACATGAACAAATCTTTCTACATTAAACAAATATAAATACAAATAAGGCAACATATGATGCAAAATTTCGCTTTAATTACTTATTAGGCATAATTAAGCATGGATTAACGTTAATCATGGGTCGGGGTTGTTACATAAGGTATGTTAATTTGTTGATTATTATTATTATTATAATTTTGATTAGTTCTTTTTGTTTGATAGAAAGATAATA